TAAATTTAATGTACCTAAATGAAGAAGACAAAGTATATCGAAATATATTGTATAACAAAAATTAATTTATCTAAATGTTTACAACAAAATATATTACGATAAATGAAATGAAAATGAAAATTATAGTGAAATAAATTAATACATTAAAAATTAGGAAGAAAAAGAGAAATAATTAAAAAAATAAAATATAATTAATAAATGAGGTTATTAATGTATCGAGTGAGAAAAATTAGATTTTGATCTTATTCATGGTTTTAGTCTAAAAATCATCTTTGCCAAGGATTAAAATCTAGTTTTCTATAGGGGTCTTTGAACTTTAATCCTTCAAGAAGATTAAAATTTAATAAAAACCCGGTGTTAGATTGAATATTGATTTTAGTATGTACTGAATTCAAATTCATATTATATTTTTGTTTTTATATTTAATAGATAACTTATTTAAAGTTATTACATTAAATTTTAAATTCATTATTATACACATTTTAATTCACTAATTTTATTTAACTTTATTTGATTAATGTACCTAAACTTTTGTATCATAATATATTTTACTAAATTAATGTACCGAAATGTTTGTACCTAAATATATTGTAGTGAATTGGTGACACATAAGAAAATATCTAAAAACATAAGTAAATAAAAAATTCCGTACCTAACTATATGATGCTAAACTAGTGTACCGAAATGTTGGTACCTAAATATATTATACTAAACTAGTTTACCAAAATGTCTGTACCTAAACATATTATACTAATCCAATGTACCTTCGTACCTAAATATATTGTAATGAATTAGTGGCAGATAAGAAAATATGCAAAAACATAAGTGTGCCGAAAAATCTCTATGAAAATATTTTCTTATATAAGATGTTACCATAATGAGAATTAAAATTTATAATATTTTCATAAAATTTAAATTCATAAAAGAGGTATTCATCAATTTCCCCCCTGAACTTGTGATCATTAGCCAATTTCCCCCCTCAACTTTAATTTTGGCCAATTTCCCCCCTCAACTCTCATAATTAGTCAATTTCCCCCTCAACTTTAATTTTGCCAATTTCCCCCCTCAACTCTTATAATTAGTCAATTTGCACCCTACTGTTAATTTTTTAATTTGATCATAATTAAACAAGTGTGTGTAAGAAACTAAATAAGATGTATGTTAATCATGTTCCTATATCTTTATCCTATTACAAATAGATTAAAATTTAGAATTTATTATAGATAGTATTATTAGTCATAATAAATCCGTATGGAGTAATTTTATTTGATTTTTGACCATACAAAATTGATAACGAAAAGGATTGATGTGTAAATTTTTATATGTGAATACAATTTTCTTTATAAAAGTGAAAGCAAAGTTCAAGTAAATTGTGGAGAATCGAGCTTTAGTGAAAAAATGGGTAGTCTATTCATAATTTTCGACTCCTTATTAAGAATAATCCATTTTATTGAAATAGGTTTGATCCATGAGTTTAGGATTATTATTTCTTTTTGTTATTATTTCTTCTTCTACATGCTTTAAACCCGATTCATAACTTTTTCTTATAATCAACCCATATCACATACTAACTGTATTATGTTTTTGTACATTTTACCCTATATTATGCAGGTGAGTTTATGTTAATTTTAGTACTTTGTTGGAAGTTATTAGAAAGATTGAAAATTAAGAAAAGAATAGATGGAAAATTAAAAAAAAAAAAAAATTAACAGGAGGGTGCAAATTGACTAATTTTTAGAGTTGAGGGGGGAAATTGGCCAAATTAAAGTTGAGTGGGGAAATTGACTAATTATGAGAGTTGAGGGGGAAAATTGGTCAAAATTAAAGTTCAGGGGGGAAATTGGCCAATGGTGACAAGTTCAGGGGGGAAATTGATGAATACCTCTTCATAAAATTATAAATAAAACAAGAGACATTGAATATATGCTGGCATTAAATAGAGTCTAAGAACTAAAATCAATTTTTAATCTTGTATAAGACACTTTTCTAAACTTCATCTTATTTAGAGATTAAAATCTAGTTTTCTAATTTAAAAGACACTTTCAATTAGCTTGAGAACATTATGAGAATAGAAATTACCGATCTCCTAAAACCATTCCTCCCAAAGACGCAACATCTCTAAGAGCTCTTCTCCACAGCTCCACCTTGTCCATCTCCTCCGTACTGAATCGCTTCTCATGTCTGGCAAATGCTTCAGCAAAAGAACCACTCTGCTTCCTGACATCGGATGGATCCACATCATAGAAAACTGGCAGAACCACATGTCTACGATCAGTATTTTTACGTTCCACGATCTTCGAAAGTTCGTTCAAACACCACCTTGAGGAAGCATAGTCCTTGGAGAAGACAATTATCGATACTTGTGACTCCTGTATCGCCTTCTCTAACTCCGACTCAATCTTCTCCCCTCTCTTGATTTCATCATCGTCTCTAAACGTGTGGATTCCTGCTAGCTCCAAGGCTCTATAGAGGTGATCAGTAAAGCCCTTGCGCGTGTCCTGGCCTCTGAAACTCAAGAAGGCATGATAGGAACACCGGTAAGAGGACGAATAAGAATCTCGGAAAGCATCCATCTAGAGAAACTCTCTGCTTCTTGGTTCTTGCAATGACTTAATGCAGGGCACGAATATGCAAGACCGAGGACAATTATATGCAGTTTCTGAGAGGGACATATATATGAAGAGGAAGGTTCCCATTAGCCACCAGGAATTCCACACTTACTGACGAGGAAGTTTCCTTGTAAGTGAATGGGATGTTGAGGTACAGAATTTGAGAGGAGTTTGACTATCAGCTATGATGAAACTAGGACAAAAAAATGTTACGAGGTTGAGTGCAATTGTAAATACCATAAATTGTGAAGCATTCTACACGTAAATACCATAAATTGGGAGACCTTAAATTGCCCTTGAAAAGTGGGAGACCTTAAATTGTGGAGCATTCTACATGTAAATACCATAAATTGCCCTTGAAAACTTCAAGATTTACAATTAAATTAAGTAAATTACATTTAACACCCTCAAGTTTGAGTGAAATTGTAACCTCATACAACATATTTAGAGCATTTCAATCTCACACACAAACTTGTATTTTAAAGCAATTTCAAACATTCGTTCGTTAAACCGTTAATTTAACATTTTTTTTTCTTTTTTTTAAAACGTTAATTTGACTTTCGGGGTTAGGGTATTTTTGGGGGCATGTGGCTTGACACAAGACACGGTGGTTGTATGGAATGGGTGGTGCTGGTGGAGAATGTAGGAAAGAAGGTGGAAATGCATGTGGTGTGCTCGGGTGGGAGAAGAGTGGGTGGGTCCCTTTTTACTTTGTTTATTATTTAGTTTTGTATTTAAATTGTTTTTATAATTAATTATTTTTATAATTAATTATTTTTATATGCCTAGTCTTTAAAATATGTGGTTCATGTATTTGCCAATCATCACTTAACAGTAAATTGACGATTTGACTAACAAATATATAAAATTGCAATAAAATACAAATTTGTGTATAAAATTGAAATATTTTAAAGATATTTGAGGTTGCAATTGCATCCAAACTTCACGATGTAAATTGTAAATTGGTAGGTGCTTTATGATTGACAAATATATAAACAAATTAACTTAAATTTTTTTTTTTTAAATCGTAAAAAAAATTTCTAATTTAACATACAAAGACTAATTATCGCACGCTTAAATTTTGGCGAGCGGCTAGTAAAACAAGAAAAATAAAGTACAGTAAATGAGAAAGAGTTAAACCTTACAGTTGACGAGTTAGAGGGAAGATTCTTAAAAGCCACCAAGACGCTTCACACTTATTGATGAGGAAGTTTCCCCGATGGATTAAGTCAATGGGTCGGTGAGGATAATACAGAATAGGAGTTTGACTATTAGGGGAGAGTTTGACGATCAGCTCCCGTGATGAAATTAAACAAAGAGAAATGCCAAGGAAAATCTATCAGAGCAAGTTCAGTCCATTCAATCCGTGGTATCATTTTTTGTACATAATATTTGACACACGTTCTTGCAATACTTACTTCGTTATATATTTAAACGATCTGAAATGTTTATCACTTAATATTTTCTCAAAGACTATGTCTACCAAAAGATCATCTAAATCTGATCCATTTCTTCATTACAAATAAATGTCTTAATAATTTTGATTTACATAATTTTTGCAAAAATGCTAAAATACACGGAGTGGGTCCACGAAAACGTGTGTTAAAGGTTGGTTAAAAAGAAGTGGTGCGACTGCCACGGAAGAGAGACTCTTTTAAACGATGTCTAGCCTTTATTAAACAATGACTCGCACCAAGATTGACCAATCTCCAAACCATATTCTTTCTTTTATTATCAATCTCCAAACTATCTAATCTTTCGACAATCCACGTTCAGAAAACAAGCATCCTCATTATTGTCAAGTGCAATAATTCACAGAATACAAATCTGTAAAAAAACATCCAACAAGGCTACAACCTTCAAAGCTAGTCTATGAAGAGGCTCAGTGCTCACAGCTCAGTGGAAAGGAACTACCAAAGAAAATGTCATACGGGAACGTATAATCTACATCAAGACGCGAAGTAACGAGATTAACTCTAACAGGAGATGCATATTTTAGGGCAACATGAATTTACAAAACAGAGAAAAGCAATATGAACTCAGATTCTTCCCACTCGATGTGCAACAGCATGAAAAAGAAAAGAAGCTATGACTAATCTTGCAGGGTTTAATTTTGAAACCAAATGCGATAAACAAAAGAACCACAGGTTTGCTATAAATCACTACACAAGATATAAACGAACGGGACATGCTGGTCTAAAGAACCACAGGTTTACTATTTGTGCAGCAAGTTAATCAAGTTTAGAAAATTTTCTTCTATTTTTGGAACCTATAAAACATAGCGACAAAGAAAGAGACCAAAGTGAATGATCTAGCGGTTGAAGCCAATTTCAACGAAAGGTACAAGCATACAGAATTAGGAACCCAACTAAAGATAAATAAGTAAACTTACCAAGATCAACAATAATACAGGCATATCAGGACTTGATCTGTAACAAAAACAAAACTTGTCATTCATGATGTGAGAGTGGTGTAGTTCAACTGTACAATTAACAGTCCCAACCGGAAAGTTTCAGACAACACATCATCATCACTGAAGCATGAGAGCACGTGAAATGTAAAGATCCAGCGAAATCCGACACCGAAAAAGATTAAGAAATAATACCTTGTCATATACGGTAATGAAGTAGTAACCATTGGGAGCACATTGAGTGCTATCCTTCAACAACCCATCAACTGTCCGAAGCTCAACCTAAAATCCCAAAATCAATTTGTTACTTGTTCGATATCCCGTATCTGGTTTAGATTAGTGACGAAAATGCAGTGAAATTTCAGGCACTAATTCCAAAAATTGTTTTACCGTGATCTGAGAATAATCCAATTTAGCATCGGTCGGCCTCCTGGCCTTGATCAGAGAAGAACTAGCCTGAGAGTTTACAGTGGCGATTACAGACTCGATCAGGTAAAAGGGTAGAATTCATTAACTCTAACAGTGAAAAAGTGGTAGAGAGAGAAGAGATTGCGAGAAAGAAGAAGAAGAAGAAGGCTGAGGCGTGGTCTTTGATGCCTCCCTCGTGTGTGTGTTTTTAGAGTTGCGAGACCTGTTCTTCTTGGATACAGAAGGGGTTTAGTTTCAGCCATTGAGATTGATCCAACGGTAATCAATTAAATTGCTCCAGGTATCAAATAGGCAGCCGCTTGCTGGTTAACCCTTTTCCCTCCTTTCTTTCTCCACTCTTCTGCTGCAAAATCTCTCCTCATCCCTCTCACCTCTCCCCCTCTCTCTCACCTGCTCTTCTTCTCTCAGTCGTCAGGTACACTCTCTCTATTTCTGCTCGCTCTCGTTGGCTGATATATAATTTTGTGACGTCTACCTCTAGATAACCAGAACCTGAAACGCAAATCCTTGTTCTTATTTTCCTTCTGTTTCTGTTTTTAAAATAATTATTAGTATGAACTTGTGAGCATATCTGGTGAGTTTCGAAACGCAACTGGTGATTGATGTGAGGAGTTTCTTATGTTAAATTCCTTTGGCAGTGCCAAGTAATTGATTTTGTTACTCACATTGCATTCAGATTTCTATCTTGTAGTTTCCTTTGTTTCAATCTTTATATATTTATCGGATACCGCAGTTGCTCATTTAGCTTTGTGTCTTTACATATTGGTTTTCGAAAGTTAAGTTCAAGTTTTTGTATCATTGATGTTAGTTGGACTGAATATCGTATCTCATGTCTCCTATTGTTTCCAACTTTATATTTAATTGGAATTGGAACCACAGTTGCGATTGCCAAAGCCTTGAAGAATCTTACAAACTGTTTTTGGACATTTGAGAGTAATAGACTAGTACTGCGAATAGAGATCAATGATGTCCGAAGAGTGAAGAGTCGATTATAATTTTGTGTGCCGGACTTGTATAATATCGTTCTTCATCTGAGGGGTTTAATTGTGTCTAATGGCTACCGATGGTTTCAGACGGCAACAGGTTTCATCAACTCCGCCTCGAAAAATCAATGTCCAAAAGTTTGCAGAATCACGGGGTTCAGAGCTTGAGACACTCCATTCAATTGTATCTAACAGATTGAACAATGATTTCCGGTCTTGGAGAAGCAAGAGAAGAACCACCGCTTACGACAATCAAGCCGCCAAAAAAAGATATAGAAAGAAGCGAAAACTTGATCAGAGTAATGCTTTGACATTGCCTCCAGAGAAAGATGACAAGAAGAATGTTCCTCGTCGCATTCGTAGGAGAGCTGAGCTTAAAATGAAGCTTGAAAAGGGTTTCTGCACATCAGGGGATGGTACAAAGAGGCTTAGAACACATGTTTGGCATGCGAAGCGGTTCACAATGACAAAGCTTTGGGGTTACTACCTTCCCTTGGGTTTGCAGGGCAGGTAAAACGCATTATTAATTTAGCAGTGCTATTCCTTACTTTTCGCTTATTATTTGTTCTATTTCTCGATAAATACCAATTTGTTTGTTATCTACTTTATAAAATAAAATAAAATGTAGAGGAAGGGGGTCCAGAGCTGTCTTGGAGTGGTTCAGGGATGGAGTGCTTGTTCATGATGCAATCTATCATGTAGCTATCCAATTGGAGGGGCCGGAGGTAGGCATTTGCTTTCTATCTTATGAATTGGAGGGGCCGGATGCAAGCTATCATGTAGCTATCCAATTGCTCCTGTGAACTGTATGTGGCGGCCTTCTGGCCAACCAAATAGAGATAATAATGCAGCTGACTGTGAAGGTGATGAATTCAATGGACTAGAGGGTACAAAGCACTCTTCTACTGATCGGCAGTTTTGGGTATGGATACATGCTTCTGCTCTCACTGAAGCTTATGACACTTTGAAATTAGCTTGCCAAAAAGAGGTACCCATTCTTTCTTTTTGTTCACACAAACATCAATAGCTAGTGTATAGAGGCTTGATCTCATCTGAGTTCATGTCGGAAGGAAGGAAACGATGATTTATGGATCTTAAGATAGAATGCAACTGTGCTGGTTTGGTATTTAATTCTTTGATTGAATGATGATTTATGTCAATACTGAAACTCGTCTACTTCTATGCCTTGTACTTGATTCTCTGATAAGCCAACATTTTTTTTCAAATGCTACTCTCAAGTGGTTTTTGTGCTGCACTTAGATGTCAAAGTTCGCCTCTAGTCTAGACTTGGTAGATGTCAGAATAGAGAACTCATTACTGTTAGATGATACTACATGTTCTTGGTAGATTATTTACTGTTATTCATATAATGCTTTATTATCTTAGATGGAGGGCAGGGACATCGTGATTAATTGTTTCTCACTTGAGGGTCAACTTGCAAAATTAGAATTAGTGGGATCAAAAGCATTTCAACTCCTTCAAAGGACATTAATCCCTGCTACCAGGTTAGTTATGGAGAGGATTTCATTGACTTAACCAAGTAATGAGGTTAAAGATGGCTATTTTTGTTGTCTGGCTGAATAGGACTAGAGATAATTCTTGGAAGTTGATGAAACATTCAGCTGCCAAGGTGGATGAGGATTCCCAATCTACAATTCATCTTAAAAACGAGGAGGAAATTCCTTCTCATGCAATTTTGTCCCTTAATGTCAAGGATCCTCACACATTAACAGAGAAGGGAAACACTGCAGATGCTCAAGATTTAGGTTCAGCTAGTATACTAGGTGATGTACTAGGAACTGAAGACAAAAAGCATGTTATCTTTGGACGATTTTCAGATGAACCTGCAGGTAGTGGCAAGATCAGAGCAAACAATGTTAGCAGTGGAGTAAGCCCTCCAGTGGAAGAGGCTGTTCTTTGCAAGGAAAAACATGACCAGAATAGGAATTTCTTCTGCCTCGATGATTCAAGTTCAGGGGAACTAAATACTTCCTCCACTTCACAGGGCTCACGATCTTGCCTGATTATGCTTTTGAAGAATTGCAACGGAAGAGGCTTGCATGTTGGGTAAACTCCTTTTTTTTCCTGGTTTATTCTTCCATTTAGTGTTATGTGGATTATGCTAATTGCTGCATATTTTATGTACTTGTATTAATGCTTATATGTGGGTTCAGTGAGCACCTTTTTCCTGAGTTGTATGTTCGTACTGTTTGTAAACTGTTAATGTATTTTGTTTCTCATAAAGATATATATATATATATATATATATATATATATATATATTATAGAGTTCTATGTCTTTTTTATCGGAAACATGAAAGTCGTGGCATAAATGTTCCCACTGACTCTTTGTGCAATAATTGATAACGCGATCTTTGAAGTTCGGAATTTCATGAAAGTACAATGTGACAATCTGTTTTTTTTTCTGACTCGCCTTAAAATTGCTTCAATGCATCAAACTTTATCATCTGTTCAATTGAGTTTGATATATTTTTAAAGTTACCTTAGATGTCTATCTCTTATTGCCTTACAGATGGTCTGTTATACACCCCGTAAGCTGGGTCAAGGCATTTTGGATTTCTCTTGTCTCTAAGGGGGCTCATGCAATGGGGTTGAGAGAGAAGCGCTGGATTTCATGTGAAGTAAGCATTGAAACTTATTATGTATAAATTATAATATTTAATATCAGTTTATCGAATGTTGCATTTAAGTCCCTTTTATTTTCTAGGTGGGGTTGCCATATTTTCCTTCAGATTTTCCTGATTGCGATGCTTATTTATGCCTCAAGGAGAACGAAGCTGCTGCCTCTAATCTTAAAGAGGAACTTCGTCCTCCAGCCATAAGACCTTTGAGGGTTCCCATTTTATCCCCATGGAATAGTATCCGAGTTGCTTTAAACGAAGAATCTAATGCAGTTGGAGATGCTGAAAGTTTTAGGCAGCAACATGGCATCAGAAGCAATTCATCATCTAATTCAGACTCTGGAAATTCTGATGCTACATTAGCCGCCTGTCATGGAAATTCATTTGATGGTTTTATAGCACGGATGAGTTTTTCGCTGACAAATTTCTTGAGTGAAATTCAAGGCTGTCATTTACGTCTGTATCCTTATGTCGCTGATAAGGAGACAAGTTTCACGAAGTTTATGAGGGATGAAATCAAGCTTGGTCCAGTCCAAGATCAGTTTACTAGATTTAAGAACAATCATAAACTATTTTTTGTTAGAGTATTACTCCATGCTTACAAGGAAGGTTTTCTTGAAGAGGGAGCTGTAATTTGTGCACCTCGACTGACGGACATATCACTGTGGACCAGGTAGTCATTTTTTCTTTGATATCCTATAAGCTTATGATTGTATTACAACGGTGGTGCTTGAAATTTTCTCGTCTTTTATATACTAGTAGAGGAGATAATGTGACCTATTTACATTACGCCTCTTATTCAGAACCTGCATTAATGAAAACTTTCTGAGATTTAATGTAACCGTTGAAAATTTTAATCATGGGAGTGACTTGAAATTTTGCGGCTATTTTTGAATGACTTTATACGTATTTCAGAGCACCATTCATGCTGCAGACCAATAATTTTGAAAAATAAGCTTCATGTGTGTGTCTTGCAGGTCAGAGAGTTTCGATGGGGGACTTCAATTGCCTCAATCTGCTGTGGCTTCGTACTTCGCAGAGCAATCTTCTGGTAAGTGGGAACTCCAAATGCCAAAGGACCCTGTTCTTAGAGAAACTTATCGTTTGCCAATAGGCTTCGTCACCACTGGTTTTGTTAGAGGGAGGTTAGTTCACAGCCTCTGGCCACTTTACAACGACCGTCTTTTCTTTATATTTTGCTATGCATTTGCAGCAAGAAGCCAGTAGCACAAGCTTTTTGTGAGGCAGTTGTACTTGCTTGTCTCAGAGAGGAACAATGGGATTTGGTGCCAGCTAAGCGAAGACGAAAGGAAATATATGTTCTAGTCAGGAATTTGAGATCTTCAGCTTATAGACTTGCTCTTGCCACCATTGTTCTGGAGCATCAGGAAGAAGATGTCGAATTCTTGTGAGCAGCTGCAGAATATGTGGTTGGCTTGCGTAGCACCACGAAACAATATTGTTCAAAATTTACTTTTTACTAAACCAAATAGTTCTAGGAAGCTTCATGTTTTTCGTGTCTCGGCAATGTTACAATCATTTGTCACATAATACATATAACCTTTCATCTTTGCAAACACTTAACCTTAGTTTGCGGTTTTTTTATTTCGAAGTAGCGTTAGTTGGCGATATTCTTGTGATCATTGCCACTAATCTATGTAGTAAACTAAACATAGATTTGTGTAAAGAAGACCATGAACCTGTTCCCCAGTTCTCTGGAAAAATGACCTACCTGCACAATGCCCGTTACTATGAACAAAAAAAAAATCTAATCAATTCGTGAAGTTCTACCATTACTCTTATCTCCCCCGAAGCTTACTAAATGAGTGTCACGGAACCACGCAGGTAAGATTATATTCGGACAATGACATTACATGATAGACAATGATATAACAAATGTGAGATTAAAAACGTAAGTTCCAATGCTCATAGTCAATGAAAAGCATGTGCATTGAAGTGCAAAACATGTTTTGGTACCATAAACAGAAAAATCTATGCCTGCAGACTTACGTGTTGATACAATACCGATTGCATCAATCTGAAAATACTGAAAGCTCGAAAGATCCAACGCTAAAGATTACCTTTATACAAGTTCAAGAACCAAAAAATATGTCGAAGTTCTAGGGAGCAGTCAATTCACTCGCGGAAACCTTTTGAAGCAAATTCTCAAGCTCGGGGCTTATTTCAATATGCTCTTCCTTCAATCTCTGACACATCGCAGGTTCCAACTTACCAGCAGCTATGTAACGCTTCAGAATCTTGCAAAATTTCTCAGCAGCATCAGCATCCTTCTTGTCCTCAAAATACTTGAGAAATGCAATTTTGGCAGCTAGGGATGGATGCGATTCCCCATCCTTGCTTACCGAAACAGCAGCTCCCAAATGGTTATCAGCCAAATCCACCTTACGGGTGTTCAAGGCGTGAACCATGAGCATTTCCCGAGCCTCGAGGAAAGACCCTTTACCTTTAGTCTTCTTACAGGTATTTGCAAAGATCAATTCTGCTTCGTGCATGCCCTGACTGAGTACCCGCGTATAGCAACATTTGCCAAACTCGTATCATATTTGGAGCAAATGGACTCCAATTCCTCAAACATTTGTCGTGATCATCTTGTAAAGGATCAAAACTTATCCTCAGAACTTTTTGAATTTTGTCATTAGGGATCACGTCTGACTTCTGCAATGCACTTTGCCATACTTCTACACTTTTTCCAGATAGAGAAGATCCCAGAACTTGAAGAGCTAATGGAAGCCCTCCACAGTGCTGTACCACATGTCTTGAAAGCTCCTTGTAACCTTCTACTGGATGGGATTGTCTGAAGGCATACCAACTGAAAACTTCAAGTGATTCATACTCATTCAATTCTCGAACCACAAACTTTTCAAAAACTTCATGCGCATTTAACAAATGCTCATGTCGAGTTGCTATGATAATTTTACTTCCTGGATGAAGCCACTCTCGCATTCCAAGAATTGCATTGAGTTGATCCCGGTTGCTCACATCATCAAGAACAATAAGAACCTTTTTATGGCCTACGGCTTGTTTGATCCTGATTGTTCCTTCATCCATATTGTATACTTTCTTAGCTTTCCCCCTTTGGATATCTGAAAGAAGTTTTCTTTGCAAGCGAGCAAAACCATTGGGTTGTTCTGAAGATTCTCGTATATCTGCAAGAAAGCTGCCACCTTGAAATCTATCAAAGTTGCGGTTATAAGCGGCTTTCGCGATAGTGCTCTTGCCAATTCCACCCATCCCACAGATGACAGCTACACAACATCATTTGATCCATCTTGTTTAGGCGTCTCACACGATTATCCATTCCAACTGCAAAGTGAGCAACGTCTAAAGCTGGGGAATCCACTTTTTTTCTAATCTCTTCAACAATATCTTGGATGAACTGCCCCTCATACCTGTAATTCATTTGAATCGAAATATAGGACGCAGAAATAAGCATGAGAACGTATGAACCAAAATCGATAGGAACATATAAACCAAAATCGCAGTATATATAGGAGCATATAAACCAAAATCGAACAACTTCAAACTTCACTGCCATCTACAATTTTACTAAGGTTTTTTTAGCCCAAATGGTCCATGAGATATATATGCATAACTCCTTACTTTGATCCCTGAGATTTGAAATCGATAGAATTGGTCCATGAGTTTGTCCACAATCAATCGTGATTTTTCACTGAATGATCAAAACGATTGATTGTGGACAAACTCATGGATTAATTCTATCGATTTCAAATCTTAACGATCAAAGTGAAGAGTTATGCATATCTCATGATTATTTTGGCTAAAAAAACCTTTTACTTATTTAAAAGACGCTTTCAATTAGCATGACAACATTATGAGAATAGAAATTACTGATCTCCTAAAACCATTCCTCCCAAAGATGCAACATCCCTAAGAGCTCTTCTCCACAGCTCCACCTTGTCCATCTCCTCATGTCTGGCAAATGCTTCAGCAAAAGAACCACTTTGCTTCCTGACATCGGATGGATTCACATCATAGAAAACGGGTAGAACCACATGTCTATGATCAGTATTTCTACGTTCCATGATCTTCAGAAGTTCGTTCAAACACCACCTTGAGGAAGCGTAGTCCTTGGAGAAGACAATTATCGATACTTGCGACTCTTGTATCGCCTTCTCTAACTCCGACTCAATATTCTCCCCTCTCTTGATTTCATCATCGTCTCTAAACGTGTGGATTCCTGTTAGCTCCAAGGCTCTATTGAGGTGATCAGTAAAACCCTTGCGCGTGTCCTGGCCTCTGAAACTCAAGAAGGCATGATAGGAACACCGGTAATAGGAGGAAGAAGAATCTCGGAACGCATCCATGTAGAGAAACTCTCTGCTTCTTGGTTCTTGCAATGAATGAATGCAGGGCAAGCATTGTATGCGGTTTCTGAGAGGGACAAGTAGGACAAGACATATTCAACCCTCGCGATCTCTACAAGAATCTGAATGGGTGTCTGTCTTAATATTTGATAAAGACAAGGAGTTTGCGAGGGAATTTTAAAAATATAAAAAAGAAAAGTCACACCTAGTTAAGAGGAGATAAACCTTACCCCTGGTAAATCACGAAAAACAAAATATGGAAGTTGGAGAGGTGATAGTTCGAAAGGGACACAGAGGAGATATGCATGGTGGATATGGGGAATAGAAAAGGTTTTTCTTTGATGCTTTGTATTTAAAAAAATAATAAATGACGATAAAATCTCTTACAATTCATCAAAATCCAAATCCATAACAATCCTCAAAATGTAAAAGTCATTTTAAAGATAAATAAATAAATAAATAAAATAAAGTCACCTAGCCCGCGTAACCTTTGCCTAAGTGCTCTACCTAACATTTTCAACACCGGAAAATGAATCGTAGTGTTGACTAGTTACTTAAGCCACTTTTTAGAACATAAAAAAAAATGTTTGATCTTGGCATAAACTAAAATTTGTGGGGCTTAAAATCAAACTCAAGTAAGCACAAAGAGAATTATTAGCACTATTCTAAAAAATTGAGTCCTTAGACGTTTGAAAATTGAGAAAGTGCGCTTAGACTCGATTAGGCGTCCACCTAGCCTGCCTAACCCGCAAAGGCACTCGCTTAGCCCATCTAAACCCGCTAAGGCACCCACCTAAATCGCAACTTTCACTTAAACATAAAATCAATAACTTTCTTTTTGCATTCTATTTTGTTAGTAAAATATAAGAAATTTGTTGGATACTTGGATGAAGACTCATTATATGCTTGTTCCCCATGTTTTCAAAGTTGAACCATCTTTTGGTGTTCTTTAAGTATAAATAGGCACTTATTTATATAATATATAATAAATTTACTTAAATCTGCATAGTCTGTCTAGGCCCCCGTCTATCTGCCTAAGCGTTAGGCCCCAACCCGCATTCTGACTAGCACCTAACGTCTTTTAGAACCTTCATTATTAGAGCATAGCCTTGAACATTAAAAGTATCTCCCATTGAACGAGAAATTAAGTCGTTAAGGCTCTTCCACTTAGATTTGAAGTTAAATGATTACATTTTAAATTAACGTACAATTAAAGCAGATTATTTATACAAACATAAGTCTAGTTAAGAGCATCTTTAAAGGAAATGTCAAAATCCTAGGTGGAATGTCATTGTGCATATTTGACACTCAAAAGTTTCTCTAACCTAGGAATGACAATTCTAATCGTTAAACCCAGTAACCGTGGATAACCGTCCGAATGAATTGGATTTGGATATGAAAATTTGGGTATGGGGAAAAACCATAAATATTATTCGGTTATGGTTTTGAATATGGTTATAGGGGTTCCCAATCCATATCCGTACCTGAATCCGAACCGAATAATATATAATATAATTATTTAATATTAAAGTATTATATAATATATGTGTGTATATATAGATCTATATATATATATATATATATTCATTATTCACTGAATCTTACATTGAGAATATAAAAATTGCATTGTGTGAGTTGCATTTTGTGGCAAAGTTCAAAAGTTTTGATATGAATCAAAATCTATGAAAATTCAATGGTACTTATGGGAGATATCAAAGATTAACCAACATTATCAATGTTTAGCTTTAATTTTTATGCTCTACAAGATCTATTAATTAAATCATTTTATGTCACATCCCGGCCCGGGACGGATCACTTCCCGGGCCCGCTCCACCACCGTAGCACGATATTGTCCGCTTTGAGCTTACCATTCCCTCACGGTTTTGTTTTTGGGAACTCACAAGCAACTTCCCAGTGGGTCACTCATCATGAGATTGCTCTAGCCCCCTTCTCGCTTAACTTTGGAGTTCCTACAGAACCCGAAGCCAGTGAGCTCTCAAAAGACCTCGTGTTAGGTAGAGATGAGAATATACATATAAGGATCACTCCCCTGGGCGATGTGGGATGTCACATTTTATACATCAAATATTTTGATGACGAAATTAATATTTATCAAATTATCATGCATCAATTGGGCAAATATAGTTTTTGTATTGACGAAGATGGATATAACCGTTAATCGATGAGGAATCCGTTATTTGGTGGGCATGGTCATGGATAATACCCGATGATTAATTTTTGTGGTTATATGGATGGATATAGCATTTCCATCCACAAACCAATCCATTGTCATCCCTCCTCCAACCGAAGTGTTATTTGATGCCTGGATTTGAAGGCCTTGTGATTTGGAGTCAATGTTATTTTTAATTCATTTTAATGGTGGATCCCTTATTCTATTAACTTTTCAATTAATAAAAATTTTGTTTTAACATTTTTTTCAATAATTATAACCATTAAAACTCTATTTAAATAATAAAATACAATTTAACAATTCGGTTGGAGAAGTACAAAATTTGACGTAAGACTTCAAATTATCACATCAGTCATCAATTATAATTTGACTCTTATAATTTGACATCTCCTTTGGAGATGGTCTAAGTCTGCTAGAAAGATATAAATTTTTTATTTACACCCAAGTTTAAGGCTTTCAACCACGAACTGGTGGTCCAATGGTAAATAACGGACTACGAAGCTTCCTTAAAACTAAAAATTGGAGGTCTCGAGTTAGAAACCCGTTGCTGGTCTGAAAGTCAGACTTGTGGACAGGGAAGGCTAAAATGACTCTGTGAGTCCTTTCGGCTGCCGAAAGAGGTGGATAACCGTAACTTGCCACCAGTTGTCCCTTTTATTTATTTATTTATTTTAAGTTTAAGGCTTTCGTCCCATAATTTAGACTTTTTCTTTTGTTAGACATGCCATAATTAGTATAAATTATGTTGTTTTCGTAGGAAGAGGATTCTCTTCGGATCCACTTTGTAGCAGTTCATCATATATCGTACGGCCAATTTTCGTCAGTTACTATTTGTGTTTAATTTTAAATAACAAAAAGTCAAATAATTTCTAACTGCACGATGTTAAGATGTGACCCTAGGATCCCACCGTTTTCGTATTGTAATTTTTTTCTTATTTTAATGAGCTATTCACAATTTGGGGTAAAAGTTTCAGGAGGGAGGATTTTGAACTCGGTTACTTTGCAGCATTTGCAGCAGAGTCAGACAAAAACAAGTTGAGAAGGAGAAAGGGATAGGGACCGAGACAGAGAGCGAAATAAAAAATTGGGGTCGAGAGCAAGAGCAGTCGGAGCATCACCAAACCTTATTTGGGCCCCTCCGGAAAGAAGCCCACGGAAGCCCACAAACCAACAGGAAAGAAGCCCATTCTAAGCCCACAACCCAACAGTCACTTCGGTCACTCAGACGCGCCTTCGGTCACTCGATTAATTTTGATTAATCCCTACATGGTTTCACTTTTACACAGAAAATGGATTCACAATTTCACAGTGAATGGCGTGGACTACGAAGGAAGCTTGCTTTGTGTTGGCAATATGTTAATGTATTGGGCTCCCACCAAATTCTCTGATGTCACTCCTCATCGGTATTTGCTCTCTACTTTCTTTCCCTTTTTTCTTTCATTATACATGAAAACTTTGCGATATCATCGACAGTGTGTCGAAATAATTATCTCAACACAATGTACCGCCATTATTTCGATGCAATTTCGGTTTTAGACAGTAATGGTTAAGATAAGGGAATGATGTGGCCCAAGATTGCTCTTAATTTTGTGTTTTCCTGTGGAAATTGTACCGAATAACAAATTGGCATAAGACATTGGGTTGCCTACTTGCCTTTGTGGTACATATTATGTTACCGAATAACAAATGAGCCCGACTATTATAACTTTGTTCTT